CAAAAAATTTACTATTTTAAATATTATATTATTATTATTTTTTTTTTTTTAAGGCAGCTTTAATTACACACAAGCAAAGTCTCTCACCCCATGCTGAAATTTGAACACTCATTTGACCATTTTATTTTCATATAAAAGAAGCTGGGTCATATTCAATGCATATGGCTGGAAACGGCTGATCTGAGCGTATCTCTGGTTCCACAGTTGGCTCTAGTTGTGATTTTGGCATTGGATCTGTTTGCTGGGTTTAGAGCCGCTTGGACACAAGTAAGCGAGCAGGGAAACCTCTCTCGCTCCCCTCACAATTGTTCCCCGTGTTTGTCCTCATGCAGCTGAGGCGCTGCTGATAAGAGAGGCTTTCCAGAGATACCCCGTGAGATGCCCAGACAGGGAGGAAGTTCAATTAGGGTTCGATTTCCTCGGCCAAAGCACGCATGTGACCGTGCGAGGCAGAGATTTCCAGGGGCTCGAATTTAGAGACAATGGGCTTGAATGAGCATTCAGGAAAGTCAATATTTTCTACTTCGCACTCTGATGTTTCTCTCTCTCAAGGTTGCATCCTGTTTTAGAGATGTAAGCAAAAGGAAAAATAGCTTTTTTAGTTGTTATATAAACAGTATCATTTTCAAAAAGAATTAATTTAGCATTATTCAACTTTTTTTGAATCTCACTGTTTAAATGTAAGACACTTTGTCCAAAACAAAACATTTTGTCAAGCGTTCTTCACAAAAAGGACCATAAAATGTAAAAAATGTAATACCAGTATTATCAGGGTTGTACCATGGTATGTTGTTTATATACCATTTTAATCTGTTTTCTTGCAATTTAAGTGTGTGGTTACATACTGCTTTATGACCTCATATTAATTGAGAGGTTAAATGTCATAATTAAACGTTTAAAATTAAACTTGACTAAAGCGCAGTAATATCTCCTCTTCACAGCTTAGCAAACATTCCCCTCACGCCAGAGACGGCGCGGGACCAGGAGCGGCGTATTCGGCGGGAAATCGCCAACAGTAATGAGCGCCGGCGCATGCAGAGCATCAACGCTGGCTTCCAGTCTCTGAAAACACTCATCCCGCATAGTGACGGAGAAAAGCTAAGCAAGGTGAGTCAGACAAACAGAAAGAGTGTAAACCAAGTGTTGATTTGAATGAATATTTCACTGAAAAACGAAAATACTGTCATTGACTCACCCTCCGCGAAATCGATGCATTTTGTGTCTAACAAACACAAACCACGTGGTTGCATGCACACACACACACCACGCTGCTGGTCTCTCGCGCGTATTTAATATCACAAACCGTGCGTATTTCGTCCCACCAGTAAATTTGTCACCATATAGGGGGGTTTGTTGGTTAGAAGCGTGTTTGGGCTGAAGTTCGCGTGTTTTCGGGGCTTACGTTATTGTGGGCAGTGCGGCCATGCTTCTGGCTCGTGCATTTGGCGTCGTCTGTTTCTCATCGCAATCAAATGTTAAAAGTCTCCTGACTACCATTGCATACGAGTTCCCCCGATATATGAGGCTGAAATGGGCGTTAAGCGCGAGAAATCTCGCCGTGCGTGCGGCGGGAGAGAGATCAGATGATATTTGGACTGCGTCGGTGCTGCCGCATGGACGGAGGAAACGCGAGAGGCGCATTGTTGTAATGGCGGACCGTATCATCCGTGAACACGGTGTTTTTTATTTAGCCCAGCGAGCGTGTTGATTATCTCGCTCGATATTACAGTTTCGGCCCATTATGAATGGAATATGAGGTTTTTAGTGGTTAGTAAATTAATAACTGGTGTTATTTGAATAAGGGGGTGTGTATGCCGTTGAAGGAAGGCCCCGTCAATGCGTCTGCGATCCATTCTCAGAAAGGGGGCGGGGCCAGTGAGCCGATTAGCGCAAGGCGTTCTGGGAATTGTAGTTTTCGCCCAAAGTAAATCGCATACAAATTATGCGTCTGGTCTCAGTTATGGTGTGCTGTTATTCCCACTATGGACACTTTGCAGATTTAAAGGTAATACCATGGTTCTTCAGTATATCAGTTGAAGTACTCTAAAGAACGTAGAATAACATGGTTTTACAATTTTATAAAACACCAAGGTAGTACGTTGTTTTGTTGGTTTGGTACGTTATATATTTATATCTATTTATTCTATTTTTCCTTTTAGGATAAAACCAAGATTTAAGTTGCCAGTGTTTTGAAAATGCAGAAAGCAAAAGCAATTCTTCCTTCTCTTATAGATTTAATATAGTTCTTAAAGTCCAGTTTAAACTAAAGGATGCAAATTACTATTATTTTTTATAGCAGTTAATTTAATTCATAATATTTTTGAGTAAAATCACCCAGGCATATGACCAGTGCTCAGTAATATTTTATCAATCTTGTCATATCATTACAAGCTTGTACTTTGGCCTGTTGTCAACTTTAATCTGTCTAATTAGTTACTATTATTATTAGTAGAACATTATTTTTTAAGTGTTATTTTTATTATTATTATTGTTATTGTTGTTATTAGTGTAATTAAATATTACTTTTATTCTTATTGTTTAGTTATTATTATTATTATTGTTAAAACATTATTGTTTTAAAATATTATTTGAAATTATGAAATTATTAATTTAAATGTTATTATAGGTTAATTCATATTTAATATAAAACATATGTAGTACTATTTACTCTACTTTTAGTCATTTAGCAGACACTTTTATCCAAAGTGACTTACAAATAAGAAAAAGTAATTAAAACTAAAAGCTAAAACTCTATAAATACTATATATATATATATATATA